ACCCTGGCCCCTGCACCTGCTTGCAGGCGCTTTAATCTGCTGAGCAATTCTGCTGGCCCAGAGCTACTCAGTTCTAGAATGACGGTTATCCTCATGCCTCTCTTCTTGGAAGCAAGAATGCCCTCCTCAATAAGATTCCTAGGAAATAGTGACTGTTCCATTACTGAATTATTTATTCCTGTGTGGATAGGAAAGCGGATATTAAAGAAAATGTTATACTGTAAGCAGATATCTAAAATTCCAGATTGAGGGTAATCTGTCTTCTCCCCTCCCCTTCCCTCCCCTCCTTTCTCTTTCTTTTTTTCTTGTACTTGGAACCAAACTCAGGACCTTGCACTTGCCTGGCAGAAGCTGTGCCACTTAGCTATATCCCCAGCTCCGGGAGTGATTTTCTTGAAACTGCTGAATGGGTGGGGCTTTTACACTTGGCTTCTCATCACCTATGAGATCTTGGTTCTTTCCTTTCTAAGACAAAAGATTGGCTATCAAGACCACTTCATGGGATGGGGAGATAGCTCAGTAGAATAAGGGCCTGAGTTCAATCCCCGGTTCCACAAAACAAAAACGAAAACAAAATACTTCATCTTTCTGTGGCTGGGTTAGGAGGAGAGCTCTGGAAAAACAGCTTCGTTGAGCCCGGCCCTCTGATGTGGCCACGCGGTGAGTTCTCAGGGCTCTTGCACCCTGCAGAGCTAAACCTCCTCAACATGAGATGAACATTGTATTTGTAATAAGTTGTTCAATGTTTTATTTTCAGTATATATTTTCTCTTTGTGACACAATTACCTGTACCAATGAATTTTCTTTTTCAAAAAACAAAACCTTGAAAAAATCAGTGATGATCTTTAAGGCTTGAAGGCTTGACCTTATGATACTACAGGCTAAGGAAACCTCTCAAAATAAGGGTCAGGTCATTTGACAGTTTCTGAAAATAAAATCTACCTTACTTTCACAGAACCAAAGCAAATTTCTAGACATGACAGTGTCTGCCACTCATTGACACTTTAGAAATTTATGTGAATCTGAATTTTAAAACTTATCTGAAAATAAAATCAGGTCAGCTCTTAGTGTAGTCATTGCACCTTCTAAATTTTTTAACATTTGTGGTGCCAAAGTCAGTTGTTGTCTGAGATTTTGAGGTTCTCAGCCCAGCTGCTCATGCTGAGGAGGAATGAAGAGCTTGCCTTGGAGACAGATAGGGTACTTTCCTGCTTCGCCTCAATCCCCTTGCTGTTCGATTCCACTCCTCCTTTTCTTCATTTCTGTATTCATTTGATTTCTATGGTTGTGACATGGAACTAGGATGTATTTTTATTTT